TTGCAATCCATATTATGTAAGGAGATATTGCTTTTGCTAATTCAAATTGAACAGTCATATAAAATTGGTCTATTTCTAGTATCATATTCATTAATAATAAGGCCCCTAATTTTTATTTGATATGTATAATAATTTGAATTTCGTTATTAATTTATAATTTTTTTTAATTTAATAAAACTTACTCAATCCAATTTTCATTTTAAATTTGGATTTGAAAGTGGATACAAAAGTATGGTTGGTTTTAGAGTTGTATGCACTATATGGACAACAATCAAACGACTGGGATCATTCAATACGACGGTATGAACATGATACCAAGGCAAACCCATGGAAATACTCCTTTATCAATGAAAAATAGACATAATGTAATGTTTTGAATTGTAATCTCTAATAAAAAACATAGCTCGCCCCCTGTCATGATGAATCCTCCAATGTATTGGTGATGAGTATATAATCCAGCTTGAGTAGTAAAGTCTTGTGCTATAAACGCATAAGCAGGTAAAAAGGGGGGAAGATTAGAATTAGAGATTGATAGAAGAGCAAGGATATGAGCTCGTGTGAGTAGGAAACAAAAAATATATATTCTAATTCTATTATCAGCTATGGGTTCGAATATAAGAGAAATTCTCTATCAAAAATATCTTTATTCTCACTTCAAATATGAATATTACTACCAAAGTTTTATGATTTATGAAAAAAATCAAAGCCCCTTATCAAATTTGAACCGATGACTTACACATTATCATGGCGTTACTCTACCACTGAGTTAAAAGGGCTTGTTTGATCCAATTCCTGATCACTTTGATATTGATAATGACTTCTTAACCAATTTTTCCATTGATTCATTCCAGAATTGCAAATATTCTTAGGTCTTAATTCGGAATGAAATAGTTCTTGTCTTACAACAAAAAAAATCCTTTATTTCATTTTTAAGAAAAAGGGGTTCCGCATTATATTGAAGTACGGATTTCAATTCCTCTAAAAGGTACTTCAAATTGTTAATTCATCGCCAAAGATGGCTTAGAACCAATGGTTTATTATCTAATGGATTTTTTCGTTGAATCCTGATTGGTTTGAGCTTTGTCCTTATTCTTGAAGTTAGAAGCCTTAGGAGTCAGGGAATCGCGCTTCAGGGCCGAATTTATCCCTTTGATGGGCCTCTGCTTTGTCGACCTTGGTCTTGTGGCTAGGGATTCAGCCTTTTGCCACGGCAATGACCCCTCTTGCGTCATTTGTATCCTTGAGAAGTGGTAGAATGCATTTCAGGTACATCGTTCGAGCTAGTAAGTCTAGCCTGATAATTCTTCTTCAAAAGCTAGCTTTTCGGCAAGTAGTAAGAAAGAGAGATTAAATTCAAAAACTTAATGAATTCTATGCCTTATATTGTTATTGCAGGACAATATTGCTGGCATAAAAAGTTGAATACGTTTTCTCTAGGAGATCCTATTTAGTCAAGCCCTCATTACAGAACTTGAGAAGTGGTCGGATTCAACAAACTTCATAATTGTACTCATTTACAAACTTGAAGTCTTGGAGGCATAAGTGCTACTAGTCATGTCTTGCTTCAAGTAATAAGATATCATTCTGGCGATTAAAATGATCCGCCAGAGCTAGCCAGAGAGTGCATGGATCCTCTTTTATAGGGTATTTGGTTTGCAGTGCATCATGCATATGTCTTCAGATGAATCATTAATTTACGAAATTGGGTTGTTGGCCATAAATTTGTGCAGGAAAATAGAAAGTGGCCCAGCAGCAAGGCGGGTCGAGAAATAGGGACCCATCAAGGTAGCTGCATGCTATAGAGAGAAGCTCAGAAAAATTTGGGCTTGGGCTCGGTGTGCGACAGAAGGCCCAACACATGAGCTGCAAACAAATGCCAAAATGCAGTCGTTTGGAACAGGAACTGCAAGCTTGGCTCGAATTCACCCAGTGGCACAGTGCAGCTTAGCTTCTAGCCATGCCTGGCTCGGCTTTAGGCATGGCTGAGCCGCATTGTATCATTTTTACCATTGGTTTTAGACCCAGTTTAGGGTTGAGGTGATTTTTGAAAAAGCTGGTGTGAAAAAAAGTTGGGGGAGTTTGTGGTGTTTGATAAACATCCCAAAACAACTTTATTTCAAAGTTTCAGATGAAAAAAAAAAAAAAAAAAAAAACCAAACAGTGGAAGCTGCTTATTATACAAAACACGAAGCTACATTACTTTGTTAATGAATTTTTCCAATTTGCCAATACTGCCCCTTCCTTTCTCCTGATTCCTTAAAACACTCCGCACGCCTTCTTCTCTCTTGCAAAATACTCTGCACGCCCCTCTTCCCTCATGCCGCTACACAACTCCTCATTTTCCTCTCTCTCCGTCTGTCTCAACGCTACACCGCCGTCGCCTTCCAGGTACCAGGTGCTCAATTTGCTTGAATATATTTGCTGTTTAATTAATTTAATTTTTAGGTTAAGGTTTGGCTGCTCTCTCTAGTTTGCTTGTATTTTTGTAGTTTAATTTTAATTCAGGGTTTGGTTCTAGTGGCTAACATGGATGATGAACTGATTTTTTTGGGGTTTTCTGAAACAGGGTTTATTTGGTGACCAACGAACGAGCTCGATCTCATTGATTAGGTAAACATAACTCTCTCTCTCTCTCTCCATCTCCTTCTCTCCCTCTCCCCCTCTCCCTCTCCCCCTCTCTCTCTCTTTCTCTTCCATCGTTGAAGCAATTTCAGTTTTGGTTTTTGAATTAATGTTCTAATTTTCAGTTTTCGGGTTTGAATTAATTCTCTAAATTTCAGTTTTGGGGTTTGAATTAAGGTTCTAATTATTATCATGAGATCCATGAAGCAATTTCAGTTCTTAGGGTTTGATTGGCAACGATAATATTGCTCTGTTTGTTATCATGAGATCCATGAACCCAAATCTCCTCCTCTTTTTCTGCCCTTTTTAATTTTTAATTTTTGTTTATGTACTCTGTTTGTTTGTTTCTTAAACACACAACTTGTTTCCTACAATGTGGCTTTGTTTTTTCACATGGTTTATCTTTAAATTTGGGATTTTCTCCTTTTCATTCCTCTGTGTGTGCCAATATGAAATGTTGTTGAGCAATCTTTTGTGTGGGTCTTTCTGAGGAGTGGAGAGTTAAAGCATCCCACCTTTTAGGGTTCAGTTGTGGTTTCTGAAAGTTTGATCCTTTTGAGCACCTCTTCATTCAATTGTTACTTTAGCTGATTTCATATATATAGTTGCAGGTAGCAGCTGACAATTACTTTTTAAGTTTTGTGGGGGCATGCCTTTGATTTTATAGCAGGCAGCGTTAGCAAAGTCATTATTTGTTTCTACTTTTTGTTCATGACAAGTTGCAAGTGTTGAAATATGTATTTCATTTTGTTTCTTTTCAGCCAATTTTCCCTTTTCTTATCAACCTTCTTCTTTTGCAATTCTCTTGGTTAGCCGCTTTTTTTTTCAGCCAAATTTTAACTTTTCTAAGCCTCCAAATGGTAATCTTCATAATTGCTTTGTATTATTATAACATTTTACATACTTGCTTTGTATAATTATTACAATACAAAACAAAATTTTTAATTGTCAGGAAAATATTACTTGGTAGATGCGGGGTATCCACAAATGAGAGGTTATTTGGGACCATATAAAGGTGAAAGATATCATCTCCCGGACTTTCATAGGGGTGCCGAACCAACGGGTCATAAAGAGTTATTCAACCACACGCATTCTTCTCTTAGGAGCATCATTGAACGAACTTTTGGGGTATGGAAGAAAAGATGGGCAATTTTAAGGGATATGCCTAATTACCCGTTCAATAAGCAAGTGAAGATTGTCATTGCTACAATGATTCTTCGTAACTACATACGTAGGTATTCTGAATGTGATCGTCATTTTGATGACCCCAGGGATTTTTGTGAAGAGAGCGATAGTAGTGATGATGATGATGATGATGATGAAGAAGAATACCAAAATTATGAAGTTAAAGAATCACATGAGATAGAGACATTAAGAAATAGAATAGTGGCAAGTTTGATGAATGCATCTAATTAGACTACCTTCAAGTACATTAACAATATTGTACTAATGAATCCTAGTTATTCAGTCTAAAATATTTCAATTGAAGTAGTTTGTCATACTAATTAATATTTAAGATAAAGTTTATAAATATTTTTCTTTTAAAAATAAAGTATATTTAGTAATTCACCTTTATTTGTTAAGAAAATTAAATTAATAGCACATCTAGTATTATAGCCTTTTTGGTCATTTTACACAATTATAACTGTTTTACATAAAAGTTTACAAACACCATCATACTGTTTTTTTTTTTTTTTTTTTTTTTTCCAAAATCACTTTTACAAAAAAGTTTACCAAACACTCTAAACCAGCCCTTAGGGTTTTGAAATCCTAGTTCGTGATTCTATTTTCTTGTTTTTTTTTTTTTTTTCTCACACGTCAACATAGCAATGTAGCATTATATATTGTAATTTGCATGATGGAAATATTAATTGTTTATGCATGAATTGCTATATATATATATATATATATATATATTGAACAATGTATGCAATATACAATTATAAAATATAAGATAAACAAGGGATTCATGCATCATGGTGAATGTTTTCATGCTAACAGTGGCTTATAAAATATGTATTAATTGAAAGGCAAGGATTTTCCCTTCCTTACTACTATAAATAAAGGCACAATCATGTTAACACACACTTTAGTATTCACCAATTCTTCTAAAAGATACTATAGAAACACATAAGGATTTACATAATCATATTCCTAACTAAATTGGAACTGCAACACTGAAAAATTTGTTTTATACAAAGTAAATAAAAATACTGTAAAATGACTAGATGTTCAAGTCTTGAACTTTTTAACCACGATCATAATATCTCTCTCTACATCTGTATGTTGACATATTCAAACGCGTGTTCTCCCTTTCAGCCATAAATTTCTAATCAACGCACTACTATTACCGATCACTCCACTGCCGAAGCTGTTATAAATTCTATTTCAAACTTCGCGTAGATCACTCTATATTTATCTTCGTACTGTCCTGGATTCCTAGAATTTTCTGTTATATTTAAGTCATTTCGAAGTATTGATTGGCAAGATTGACTTAACTTGGAGCTCTGAGGACGGGTACAGGTAGTCGATCAGGTGCACTTATTGATCATCGTAGTTCATTTAGTTATTGCACCAAGAGTGATCACAATAAGAGAATGATTTCCGCACACATGTTTTCAATTTTTATGCATTTCTGTTTATGTCTCTTGATTCTCATTTGATTTATTCAAGTTAAAGATAAAAAAATATGAAGATCACAAAACGAAAACTACTTGCTGCGTGTTGTTTAATTTTCTTTAAGTATATTGGAAGTTTTCAAGTTGGAAACAATCTTAATTTCTTGTACACAAATTTGTTTTCTGTTAGCAAAATATTTTGTTCACCAACCCTTACATCTGTTTGACGGTTTCTGCATAAACAAAGAGATCAGTGTAAGTATTTGCGATTTCTAGTCTTAGGGTTTTATCATCCTTCTTCCTAAAATGGTCTGCAAGAGAAATGGAAACGTGATTACCATAATTATGTGTAGTTAGTTGAATCTCATTTTCCACTGACCCCCCCCAACAATAAAAAAATTGAAGCTAATAAATTTGTTAGCTTCGCTGGTTAAGCTGGTGGATGGAGTAGCTCAATAGACCCTATAACACTATTTTACACACACACACACGTATAAATTTAGGTATTCTTTCAATGATCAGTGTTGTAAAAACCCACTCAAGTTGGAAACCACTAAATCACTCAATTAAATTGTTGTCGTTTTAGTGTTTTCTCAGGCTACTGTGTTCGTAAATTTGTTGGTGCTATATATATATATATATATATATATGTATATGTATGTATGTGTATGTATGTATGTATGTATGTATGTACATACGTATATCCAACAATGGCAATGTACACATGAGACTGGTGTTTAACAGCTTGTCAGGTATTTGATGAACTAGGTTCAACCAGTATGAGAGCGATACTGAACTAGCCAACAAAAAAAGTACCTTCCTTTTTGTCAAAATACAGCACAGTACTTTATTCTCTAAACAAAACTCTTTTCAAAATCATTTTCATTCTAAAAATCAGCTCATTAAAACTATCAATCATTACTATGTCATTTGATATGAAAATTGGTGCTTATAGGCATAATTTATCAGACCAAACAATTTTCGAATCTAGCTTGATGATTTTACAAGGAAAATCCTTGAAAGAACTAAATACACTTTAACATTTCAGATCATTAATATATAATTGAGCGACATCGAGAGTTTGAGAGCGATATCGAGAGACAGTGAATCCAAAACAAATGGAAATCTTAGGTACAAGAGTGTATGCTCTTAATCTATAATTGAGTCGTTTGCTTGTGTTTCATATTAAATATTAAATATTAAATTTGTGCATGGCTTAATTTCGGAATGTCTAATTTCGTGGGATGCATTCAGTTAATTACATCCCCCATTTCTTAGGGTTCAAATCTTGCAAATTCTGAGGGTTTGAAAGCTTGTTTCAGATTCGAAGGCAGTCCTAATGGATTTCAAACCTCCCTTCCAACAAACCTGCAAGGCAATACTCTTACAGAATTCCACCCATGAAGCATTATCAAGTCATGATGATGACAAGGTTTCTCTTGTTGAGGAATGTGAACTGCCTCTGATAGATCTTAGCCATCTAAATTTGGGTCACTTTGAGGGAGACAAGTGTATGAATGAGATCGCTCAAGCAGCCAGCCAATGGGGTTTCTTCCAAGTTGTGAATCATGGAGTTTCACAAGAAGTTATAAAGAGTATGCAAAATGAGCAAAAGAGGCTATTTCATAAGCCTTTTGCAGAAAAGGTTGAAAAGAATTTCTTGAATTACCGCTGGGGGAATCCACAAGCTACTTGTTTGAGGCAGTTCTCATGGTCAGAAGCATTTCATATATCTCTCACCGAAATTCCAACGATGAATGATCATCACAACAGTCTCAGGTACGTACTTTTCACTTTTAAAACATTCTTGTACATTATGAAAAGAAAAACAAACAAAAATATATGATTATATATTTGTCAATTAACAGGCTTATGACTACCAAAAAAAAAAAAAAAACAATATATAGCAGTGGAGATGCTATACTTAAATTTCTGAGAATGAAAATGACATGGATAATGTAAGAACGATACTTTATAAATTGTTTAGGTATAGGATAAGCATACCTTGATAATGATATCTTGCTGAAATTAATTAGACTGTAAAATGTATTTTTAAAATTTGCGACTAATATGCATTTAGATACAAGAAGTTTCATATTGTGATTAACGTGTTGTGACTAAATAGTCACTTTCTTGTGGTGCAATAGTCTGAATGCTAAATCATCATAAACTTTGAAGCTTGAACTGTAAATCTTAATTAAGGTTATTTCGGATGTGGGATTTTTATCAAGTCCCAAGAGATTGTGGCCGAGCTAGTAAGGAATAGATCACAAAATATTAATAGGAGAAGTTAGAATGCACATGAGCGTTACAAAGGTATATATATAAGAGTGATCTACAAATGATTACTTTAAAAGGAATCATTTACAAATACCTCTTACATACATTTGTAATAATTAATCAAGTAGCGCATTTCTTATCCCTCGTATCTAACATTTTGTAGTACATATATTTCTCGTTTGCCCTATATCCCTTGAAATAAGAAATCCCTCCCTCAAAAATAGTTTAAATTATTTAATATATATATATATAATGTACGTATATATATAAATTCTTTATAAAAACAAGTAGACGATGATCATATATGTTTAGATGGGAAGTGATTTTTACTCTTTTTAGCTTCTCACAAGTCTTTTTTTATTTATGGCCTTGAGTCTAACAAAATCAACAACCAAGATTAAACAAAACTGTACAAGAGGTTAAAAAGTGTGTCAAACTCACTTCCCTATTTAAATGCATCTGCTTTTGGTAGGTGTATTTATATTCATCTTTACAACGCTAACAAATAACATGGGAAGCTTTGGATTAAACTACAGAGAAATGGGACAGATGATCTTCTTGGTTCTCTTTATTTAATTTTATTTTAACAAATGATATTATCTACACTGAGGAGAAAAGGGATGAACTTAGCCTCACAATGGGCTAGCACTAATGTGGTTTAAATTCGCATTTGGTGCGAATCGTCTTGGTTTTCTTTATTAACAAGTAACAACCATCCCAATTTTGAATTAAATTTTAGTGTGATAGTATCGCCATGTATTATTTATTGATGTATTATATTATGCGTAAATGACATAATTGATGTACCACAAATATAGAGTATAAAATCAATAAATTACTTATAAGATTTCATAATATCTACATTTGCAAGACAACTGACCAGTGACCAAGGAAAGGGAGAAAAATTCATGGACTAATTCCTTCAGCCCTTTTTCTACCCCCTACTATAACAAATTCCACTCATGTGTTTTCTATCTTTGTACTGGAGTGCTTGTACTAATACGAAAGTGTTTGCGCTTGTTTTAGTTGTTAGGAGTTACTTTTATGTATTTTTAGGTGAATTATCTCTAGATCAATATATTAATCACTGAAGAATGTACTCGTACAGCAACTCTTATAATTGTGTTCTTATATGAGGACGTATAATAGACAGAGTACCTTTATTTTTAGAATCCATCTATAGTAATATAGATTGGCATTATATGGTAAAGAGCACCTAAGTATGTCGCATGTCGTACTGAAAGTGAAAGACCTATTGTCATTTGACAAGCCAACACTCCGCACTTTTGCAGGCGTCATGCATAATTTGGGGTTTTAGGCTTTGGGTAGTTTCGATATGGTTAGTTTTATCTTTCTTTGGAAAGGGATCCTCTTCGGATCATTTCCACCAAATCCATCAATTCGGGCCTTTGAAATTTAATCTAACGGTTAAAAACAGGGGATCCTTTAAAAGTTATAATAACTTCAGCCGTTGGATCAAATTTTAAGGACCCGGATTGGTGGAAGGGATCCGGAGACGATCCCCTTCCATCTTTTAACTTTTATATATCTCTGATGATTTTTGTTCATTGATCTTTTTTAATTCGTTTAATTTGATGACTGAAAATTAAGAGGAGCGCATAAAAGGTAAAAATGAGTGTATGAACAACACTATAATCACCCTTTCAATAGAGGTAATCCACAAACTTGAATATTCGTGCTCTATGCCCCTTGTTATGTACGTTGTACAGAAGACACATTGCCATAACTGTATAACCTCTCTAGTCTCTAGGTATGTTATACCACTTTTGAGTTAACTAAGATGGATTATTAGTAGCGTTTCTTACTTATATTGTGATCGGATAAAAAATAAATAATGCAAGTAATAGTCACTAATGATATTTTTCTTCACTTATTAGTAGGTCTTGTGTTCTCGTAAATTGCAAGTTTGATATTAATTTATTGTAGTTAATTCATTGTGTTACTCACTCAACCCTTAATGTAATTATATCATTGTATATATAGAAAAGATTATGAAAAGTGACAGTTGTTTTGGTAAGCAAGTCCAAATTCTGGCTACATATTTGTTGGCTTTGCCTAATCCTAATTTAATTGGTTCTAACAATAAGTGAGAAAGTAGTCCAAAAATATTATAAACGTTTGTTTTGTTTATTGATATATAGCTTAAAATAAAATTTCCTACATTTTCTTTAGTCGAACAATAACATCAGTGAGGATCAAACTTACACCAAAATGCACATGCATAATTATTTGTTGTCATTGTATAGTAAAGCGTTATCTACTAAAAAAAACTTGTATGTTGCTCAACCATAATTATATCACATAAGCTAACAACACCATGTGAAAATGTTATGCTCCTGCCCCTAGTACTTTGTCACTACAATATGCTTCTAGTCATAGACTAGTAAATTTTCTATGGTCCGTTTGATTGTCATTTTAGTTTTCATTTGAAAACTTGTTTGATAATTGCTTTCAGTTTAAAAAACAATTGAAAATTTAAAAGAAAAACCAAGCCAAAATTTGAAAACTTACAAAAGTAGCTTTCAAAATGTAGTTTTCTGTTCATTGGAATAAAAACTAAAAACAATAACCAAAAATTTTTTGTTTTGACCAAAATGGTTATCAAAACGACCTTAGTTTGTTTTTTATTTTCCCAATTTTTGTCCGATGTTTGGTTAATTACCGTCTTACAGATCAACAATTGAAGCATTCGTGAAGTCGGTGTCTGGTTTGGCTAAACGCTTAGCTGAAATTCTGGCACAGCCGTTGGGTGTCAAACCGATTTACTTTGAAGAGAATTGTCCAACAAGAACTAGTTATCTTCGACTGAATAGATATGCTCCATGTCCATTTCCTTCGCAAGTGTTTGGCCTCATCTCGCACACCGATACCGATTTCCTAACTATAGTTCACCAGGACCAAGTTGGAGGTCTGGAAATATTTAAAGATGGAAGATGGTTGGCTGTTAAACCTAATCCTGAAGCTCTTATTGTCAACATTGGGGACTTCTTTGAGGTAAAACTTGTATATTTTTTAATTAATTGCTCAAATTTTACTTTGTATAACTAATGAGGGAAAAGGGTTTCTATTGACCAAAAAAAAAAAAAGAAAAAAAAAAGGAAAACTAACCAAAAATCCTCAAAAACTTTAGTTTTAATAAAAAAGACAAAATAAAGGTGTAAGTGAATAATATCAGGAGTGACTTTTCAAGGTAAAAATGTCAACGTTAAAAATGAACAGTATCAGAAGTGTTTCATTAAGATTCCCCCCCAAAAAAAAAAAAAAAAAAAGGATAAGGATTTCAGTTTTACTATGGTTTTGTAAAGTTGATTTTTTAAGGATATTAAAAACTGTTCAAACGTTGCATTCTGAGATCACATACATACATATATATATATATATATATATATATGTTTTGCAGGTTGAGTCTTGCATTCTAGTCCTTACTTTTATTTAAAATAAAAAAAAAGGAATATATAATTAAGTATAACCGGATTTTAGATATTGGGATTAGGGTTTAACTCAAATTAAGATCTTTTTATGTTAAATAGGAACTTTGATATATATTAAAATTCAACATATCAAGATCTTTCTTTGCGCAAAATAGAATGTTTTTGGGTAGAAATACATGATGAAATATATATTATCTTTTTGTATAATTTCTGTGAAATAGTATCATGGAAATTAAGGTTTCACCCTGAATCCAATTAGAAGTTGGGTAAGTGACCCAACTGCGCTTAAACCCTTGTAAGGTTTCTTAATTTTCCAATGTGAAACTCAACTTCATGCCTTCATGTATGTACCTACTATTTTATGTTCCAATTCCAGCTTTCAAAATATGTCTCTTGGAAAACATGTACCCTAGTATATATTCGTGTGTGTGATATAACGCAGGCCTTGAGCAATGGCGCATACAAGAGCATCAAACACCGAGTGGTTAGCACACAAGAAGTTGAAAGATTATCTGTGGCATATTTCTACTGCCCCTCCTACGATGCTGTGGTCCGAAACTGCGGTAATGAACCATCAACTTATAGGCAGTTCACTTTGAGGGAGTATAAACTCCAAACTCAAATTGATGTTCAGGAAACTGGTGAGAAAGTAGGGCTCTCAAGATTTCTCCTTTGAAAAACGTCTCAAAACTGATGGCAAGTAAACTATATATCTACCTGATATATGTAAAAGAGGACAATAATCGTGACATAAAAAAGTATGGTTTGTGAACCACTTTTTTCTTTCTTCTATTCATTAAGTGTCAGCTATCTTCCTATTGAATTTGAAGGATCGTGACCTTCTGGTCCTTCTCCAACAAAATGAAGACTTGCTGCCACTAGATACTGTTAACTTGAATGACTTTTTCTAGAGATACATTTTCTTTCTTCTATTCATTAAGTGTCAGCTATCTTCCTATTGAATTTGAAGGATCGTGACCTTCTAGTCCTTCTCCAACAAAATGAAGACTTGCTGCCACTAGATACTGTTAATTTGAATGACTTTTTCTAGAGATAATCTTTTAATTTTCTTTATTATCATCTAAAGATCATCTTTAGAAAAATTCATTCAAGCTCGTTACCATTTGGGAGGTGCGCTGTTGCATCTAGAATTTTGTTGTGGGTCACATGTACTTCCGATTTGGACGGCGGTTTTGTGTCTTTTAAGTTTTGGAGTGGCTTTGTACCATTTTGGGTTTAATTTTGACTGGTTTTGTACCAGTTTGGGCTTTTGATGTGGAGATTTGGGAATGTGGATTTTGATCCCATATATCAATTTGAAGTGGCGTGAGTTCACTTAAATTTGTGGAAGTTACAAGACCATCAGCCCTCACTTAAATTTGTGGATGTTCGGCCTCGTCTCTGCCGGACTTGTCATTTTTTTTTCTGCTGAGAGGTTAACCTGGATCCAGTGCCTTGTCAAAGTATTCCTCTAACACGTGACATTCAATACTACGGTATAATAATATTCCTTTTTACTTACAAGTAAGAGGTTTTAGATTTGAATCTTGTAAATAACGAATTCGATACCAAATTAGGCTGCCTATTATGTAGCTTAACCGAATTCCTACTTTTCTTAATGTAAAAATATCAATGTACTTAAAAATAAAAAAACCATTACCTATTGTAAATATACCGTTGTATAAAAAATAAACGAACGCACTAACACGCACTCACACAATCTAGTCCACCTTTTTGGTTAATTTATATATCAAACCAACTAATTATCGAAGCCAACCGTTTATAAGACCAAATCCTAATTTGCTTGCGAATTAAGCAACTGCCAAAGATTCTTAACTCTGTTAACTAATCAAGGCAAAAACACAACATAAAAAAGTACAAAACAACTCTTTAAGTATTATTCCACGCAAAGGGGGAAAAAACCTCTTTACTTATTGAGTCCAAATTTGACATGTTCTTGTGGATGCCTCATGGCCAAAATAGAAATCTTCCGACATCCGTAAAACTTAAGTGCTAAGAAACAAACATTAATGAAAAATGGGAAAATGCGGTGGCGGCTCTAACGTGATCTTTCTAATTTTACACTCTAAAATACATTGGTGACAACGTCGTTTTAGTTTTAACTGTTAAAAAAAAAAAAAAGTAATGTTAGGTAGGCTAAATTTTAAATTAAATTCATAAACTAAAATGATATGTCACCAATAAGAAATAAACAAGTTCATCAATACTTAAGTAATAATTTAATCATCTACTTCCATGTCATTTAGTTTACAAAATTTAGTCTACAAATTTAGCGTCTGTAAACATTACCCAAAAGAAAAAGGTTGTCATGCTGCTTTTGGTTGTGAAAAAGTGAAAACTTTTGTAATCATATAGTACCACCTCATAATTTTTTAAGAACTTTAACGAAAACTTTTGGTATTATTCACTTTAACGAAAAACCATAATTTTACACTAAAAAGTCAATCTTGATACTAGTTACTTTACCCTTTGTTTTAAACTCAAAGTTTTTAAGTCATTTTCATTAATTTTCCTTAGTATTTTTTTTTGTTTTGTTTTTTGTTTTTGTTTGTTTGTTTGTTTTTTTTTTTTTTTTTTTAAGTTTTTGTTGTGGGAATTTTCTTTTTCTTGACAAAGCCTAAAGTTAAGGAACTGAAACGGGCCGAAATGGGAATGGAAGATCAAAAGCCCAAATTCGGAATGGAAATACCATACTGCCCTAAACCAAACGACCTAAAACAAGAACACAGTAGAAAGACTCTCTGATTACCTCTCTCCATCTCGGTCGATTTTACCTTCAGGTACTCTCTCTCTCTCTCTCTCTCTCTCTCTCTCTCTAGTTGTGTTGATTTCAAATTTTGGGTTTGAATGTGGTGATCAATATTGTTAGAAATATTTTCCCTGTTTGTTTGAAAATTTGGAACGTTGGCATGGAGGTTCGAATCCTGAATTCCAAAATTTGATTGCTTTTTACCGGAAGTTAATGTAATCAGAGGCAAGTTGAATTCTTGGTGTTGTCATTAACTTTTAGATTATTGGGAATTTATAGAAGTTGGGATTGAAGTTTTCTTCTATCTGTTCACATTGGATATATCAAACTGGATTTTATAGATTCGAAAACCATACAGGGTTTAAGGTTAAAGTTGTTCCTGCAGATGAAAGGTAGGTGTTCTTTTTCTTGTTATATAAATAAAAAAATCCATTTACTCATTTCATAAAAAACCAGAGTCAGGAAAATTGCAAGAAGGTAGTGGAATTTGAAAATTTAGGTGTTCCTTTTCGTTTTGTAAATAAGAATTCCTTTAGGTGTTATTGTTTACACTAAAAATCTGAGTTGGGAAATCGCAAGAAGGTTGTGGAGTTTGAAAGTTTAGGTGTTCTTGATCGTTTTTTCGCGAACTACTATCCTTGAGCTTGTAGAAACTGAAGGAAACGGAGTAGGGGTAGTCATATCTATGCAAAGTTTCAATCTTGATTACCATTTATTGTTCTTAAACATTGTAAATGCAATAACGGACTCCGGTAGAGAAAGTCTAGCTGATATTGACAAGTCTATATTTTGTGTGTTTTTAAGTTTTGGTATGAATTTTACCTGCTACCTACTACCACTGCATGAAAACTAATAGTTAAGCTAGATTCCATGCTTCATTATGTGGTCTAAAGCTTCAAATGAATGTTATTATTAGTGGAGGAAGTGACATGACTTTCACTGGGACAACTCCCTGCTGTTTGCTTACTTGCATTCATTTTGTCTCATCAATAGATAAAATAGGAGATTTCCCTCATGAGAGCTTTTGCACCTCTGTCCAAGAGTGACAGATTAACGTTCAATAATCCCAGGGGTTTTTTTGACACGTCTTTGCTAAAGAGCTCTGTCTTTCTTAATTCAAGTAAGATGCTAACTCGCTCGCCTACTATACCCTACTATACAAAGGAGTTGATCATTACGTTGTCGACCTTATCTATTCTTTGTTCCTTATAGCAAGCGCTAAGTAAGCACGGCAAGAAGGCCATAGAAGCCTTTGGGGCAGTCAAATGGTTGTTCCTCTTGCCCTGCAACTTCTTTTTCAGTGGTATAGAAAGTTAAACATTTTTTTCTGGAATTCATTTAGTGACCTTGCGGTTGCCTATTACCCTCCATGATCAGAGTCCATGAGCTCGGGGAAGAGAAGTAGGGCCTTCGGTCAACCAAGACAGGTCCAGCCCTTCCCCAACCAGTTTCCTGAAGCATTGGAAAACTGTGGAAGTCTTGGTTGAAAGTTGTTTAACTTCTTGAGCTAAGGGATACCTTCAAAAGTTTTTTCACTATTCTATCCAGTCTTTTGGGAACTTGTGTATGTAGTGGAAAAACGTTTTTAGACTATTGAGCATTGTGTTCATAAAATCACTTTTCTAAGATTACTCTCCTGCATCAATCTTATGCTTCATTATAGTTTGTTTTGAATGTAAAACTCAATTTTCAAATATTACATTGACTCTCTAACATAGGCCAGGAAAGTGTATAACATATCCATTAGATCCTTTATTATATTTTTTCCTTGAAATTAATTCACCTTGTAAATATTGAAGTAATGCAAAGTTTGGTTGTAAATTACATTTTCCTTGTATTAGTCATTCGAAAATGTATTTTCAGTGTGCTTGATATTGATTTTGCGCCCCCTTAATCTTAATTTATCGTTTTGGATCCCTAATTAGCAATGGGATATAAGGGAAAATTTTGGCTCCTGTTTGTAATGTTCCCTTACTGTTTGATATTTGATGTACATATTTTCTCTGCCCTTTAAATTGCTTGGCGGAATCATCTTTCCATACAAAACCGAGAAAGAAGAGAGAGCACTACACTACGGTGTCTTCTTTAGCCTGAACAACATCTTTCTTTCAGAGAGCAGACAAATGTAGTTTATTCTTTTCGGATTTGCAGATTGGAAGCACAAAGCTGAACTTGCTGTAGAGTTTTGCTATTAGATGGCTGGGATGTCAGGATTTAGGAGCCTTGCACCTAAAACAAAGAATGCTATAGTTGCTGGGGGACTGTCAGCTTTTGTTTTCGGAGTATATTTCTACACCATGAGAGCTGTTGGAGGAACCGATGAATTACAAGTGGCTATAAACAAGTTCGAGGAGGAAAAAGGTCAGAAAGAGGCTGAAGCAAGCTTGTCATCAAAGGTTTGATCTTTTAATAGTAACTCAGTTATGCTGATAATGTAGTCAGGGAAAAAGGTAACCCTTACTGTGAAAGACACCAGCCCTTTATATAATTATTTGTTTTTCGAATAAATAAATTCAGTATTTTTCAGTATTTAGTGCGTTTTTCAATATTGGTCATTCAAGATTCTATTAGTCGCTACTCGTTTGGATTCTCTTGGTAGAAACTAAAGTCGACGCTTCAAGTCTCCAACCAATTAGACGGTTCATGTGAAATCTTAGAGAAGCGTCACAAAAACTATTCAGCACGCGACTCACACCTTGCTAGTCTTTATAAGAATTTATGGCATGCTCTGCCTTCTATGTCCTCTCTTTCTCTTAGCTCATTGCAAATCTGGAGGTTTTTGGTTGTTATTTCATATAAGATCGTCCTAATATGTTATACAAGTTATAGGAAAGATACTGACACAAAATGGACAGGTGAGTATAGGGATCGTAGATCAAATGTCCAAGTAATAAGCATATATGTCGACGTTTGTTAGGGTCAAATGTACAATGTGGTGATTGAACCATGGGTTATCTAGGTTAATGTCCGCATTAATCCTAGCTTCGACCGCGATGTAGATCGCACGCCAATTTCGTGGTCTGGTATGGGTATGACATAATTCTTCGTCCTAATTCCGTTTTTGCTTCTTTTGCTTAGAAAGGAGATTTGAACTTTAGGGTTTCTACAATTAGGAAGAGAAGTAGTTTAGTTAAGACTCCAAGAGCCTTGTTGAAACGCTGTGTATACATATTTGTGTCTGTCTGTAACACTCGGCCCTGCTACGAGTGAGATTATTACAAGAGCGTATACATCGGAATATCGCAGATTCTACCACACTAGGAGAATATAAATAAAGACCAACTTGCTTTAATAAAGATTAAATAAAGACGGAAGACTTTAACGAAGACCAAAATCATAGTTTTTCCAATCGTCTCTCTCTCGCACTCTCCCTCTCATAACTCTCTTCGCATTTCTCTCTCTAACCACAAACATGGCGGATCCATCGGGCGGATTCTGCGGCCGCTGCTTCAGCTTCATATTCACCCTCGGCCTCACAGCCCTCTCCATGTGGCTGAGCCTCCGCACCTCCAACCCCAAGTGCACCATCCACTTATTTTACCTTCCTGCCCTCAATCGGACCCTAGACGACACCAAAAACACCACCCTCTTCGTCGCCCTCCGGCTCAAAAACACCAACAAGGACAAGGGAGTTTTCTACGACGCCGTCAACCTCACCTTCCGGCTTCAGCCCAACGCCTCCGCCAAGCCCGTAGCAACTTCTGCTTTGCCCCGGTTCTACCAAGGCCACCAGAAGACGGCCACCAAGAACGTGGTCGTGGGCCCCCAAGAGGGGCTCAACTGGACCGCCGTGTCCAGTGGGGTCCAACCCAATGGGAGTGTGAATTTCAGGGTGGATTTGGCCACTGCTGTGAGGTTCAAGATCATTTTTTGGAAGACCAAGAGGCACAGGCTGAACGTTGGTGCTGACGTGCTGGTCAATGACTCTGGTGGGAAAGTCAACAAGAAGGATATCAAGCTTTCTGCTGCACCAGATCATCACCTGATTGGTTTCTTTTCTGGGCAGGTGGGGGTTTTGTCCAATTTCCTGGTTTTGATTTTGCTAAATTTTTTGTGATTTTTTTTTTATTTTCTTAATTTGCGTTCAGTGCTATTTTTTAAATTGGGAAGGAAGATATTAGTCCCAGCTTTTTGTACCGAAAATATTTTCTATTCAATTTTTGATGATAGACGGTAGACAATGTAATATTAGTCAATTCACAAATCACAATCCTGCTCACCTGAAGACCGAGATTTATAACGCCGTCATGTTTTTTATTTTTCCAAACGCACTGACCTGGTCAATTGGTCCAACCCAAGTCCACTGCACTAACGAATTTGTTTCTCTTTATATACCATTTATTTTAAAAACCTGGAGTTAAGGAGTTGTGTGTGTGTGAGTGGGAAAATAAATGGGTCGGAAATAAATAATAATGAAGCTCAGGAAGAAAAATAAATAATAGAGATGAGATGAACATGCGTTGGCAGATCCTACTTTTATTAGACATATAATACAAGTGATAGCGCAGGTAAATGATAAGTGTAACACTACTTTACTTAAAATATGAACATTCGGTTGGTATTTGACCATGAATTTATGTGCTTGTTAGTAGGACCTGGCAAAACTATATACGATGAGTTAATTAACTTATATGATGCAAATATACGCAGAAAATTGTTTTGGGTTAAACCTTACAAAGTTGAGTTCGTAATGAGTTGACACGGTTTCGCACGATAGTGACATATTATATGTTTGGAGATTTGGTTATGTAATGTGTTACACTTGAAGCTTTTGTAGTTTTAGAAGATTTTTATTTTTATTTATACAAAACTTGATATTATTTTTTTTGATCAGTTGACTTAAAAACTTGATATTATTTTTTTTGATCAGTTGACTTGACGAGAGAGAGAGAGAGAGAGAGAGAGAGAGAGAGAGAGAGAGAGTAAAATAGGTAAAGCATGACACGACACTTTAAATTTTTAAATGAGTTAGGGTTCATCTATTTTGACATTATAAGTTAATGAGTTGGGTTTGAGTTTAAATTACTCATAATGCGGATACAAATTGCAATGGGATTTCTTATATCAAGCCTATGTGTATAATATTCAAAGGCAATCTACATATCACAATGCAACTGTTTGGGCCCAAAATGATAGTTTGGGCCGAGCTTAGAGCCGTTCTCGGCCTAGAAACCTTCATTTAGAATTGTCATGGGCCATCCAGTCAAGGTAGGCCGAGTCCTATTGCGAGGGGGATTGGTTTAGATAAGAGTGAGGTAGTCAAAACCTAGTGCAACAAGGAGTCGTAAGGCTAATCATGCTGAGAATTAGGGGATGAATATGGTTTGTTAAAAAGCTTGGTTCAGAGTCATATTGGAGTTAGGATTGGCCGAGACCTAATCAGATTAGGTTAAGGAGTTCTAATCTGAGTACGATTCTAGCTCGGCCATGAGGGGGTTTGCTACTATAAATAGAGAAGGGCGTGCATCATTCAAAGCCCCTCCAATTCAACACACAAATTGCCCTATGCAAAGTTTCTCAACAACCATTGAGATTTTATCCTCTCCTACTTTCTTCTCGCCAACACATCTTTAGTTTGGATAAACATCACTGTGAAGGCAACCGACGACATCTTCAATTTGGATAAACAACACTAGAGTCATAGATTCAGCCGATCAAAGAGCACCTTCAATTTGGATAAACAGCACTAGAGTCGTAGAATCAGCCGATCAATAAGCATCTTTAATTTGGATAAACAACATTGCTTCGAGATCGACTGGTTATTTATTCAAGTCTGGGTCGACAAGAATTTTCGAGTCCTTGTTGGTAGAGTTTATTTCATCAGCCTTCTCAGCAAAGTGAGGTTTTACCAGGTTACTACATTCGGCACATTGAAAGCTGAATTTGATAATGAACTTCGCAGAACTAGCAACCTTGTCTTCAGGCTCTAGAACCCAAAGCTCGAGACTTCTTCCTTCCTCGGCAGCAGTCGCAAGATAGTCAACAATGCGCTCAACGCCACATCAACATATTTTACTCCCCAGCCGAACTCGACCGAAGAGTTGGCATGCCCCACACATAACCGAAAGACGTAGTTAGCTTATTAATTACTTGACCTGCGCACCATGTAGGCTTAGTAGTTTTTAGGGTCAACAGCAACATGCTCAAATATTTTGTTACAATTTCTTTGGTTCACGTAGGAGGTGGGCTTCTAGTTTGTAGTTTTATCAGATTGTAGTACACTCCATTGCAAACTAACTAAACCAATTCGTTTATGTGAACCCTATTATGCTACCTTCCCTGTTCTGGATCACAACAATGAAGTTAGCCTTCTATACTGTAGAGGGAGAGAAGTTTCAGGTTGACGCAATCTATGACCCGGTATTTTGGGCATTTTTTCAACCAATTTTTAGGCCAATTCCGGCAGTTTAAGGCGATGCCACCACTTAGGTTGAACTCTCTTCACACCAAGCATAACCCACGCAAGTTTCGCCCCGATAAACAACTATAGAAGGCGATACTGAGCCATGAAAATCTCTCATTTCCGACGTTGGTGATCTCGCCATTTGTCCACGTGGAAAATTTTGACAAGATCATTAGCAAAAATATGAGATCCGCAATTGGCATACCATTAGTTGGCCGGTTTGGTATCCTATTAAAAAAATTCATCATTTCTCAAAACATTTCTCAGAAACATATCTTGAATTTTTTTTTAAGACTAAAAAAACTTGCTTTGTATGAGATTTAAAAATTTTAAATCTTAAAACTTAAGCTAGAGAAATAAATCAGAGAGATAGAAAAAAGAAAGAGGGTCAGATGAGATAAAGAGGAGGAGAGAGAGAAAGAGAGAGAAAGAAGGAAGAAGAGACAAAATGAAGAGAGTAAATTATGTAGGAGTTTTGAGACCCCTCTTGTCCCACATCGGGCAACAATTGTTTTTCACTAGCCTTTATATAAGCTTTTTCCTTCTTCTTAGTAATTAAAACTTAGATCATTTGGAATGAGAATTGAGGTTTGGGCCACTAATTGTGTGGATTAGGTTTGATGATTATACTATAATATTAATATAGATTACTATTAATTAATCAAGACAAGGGCCTTGGGCCTTGGGGCCAAGGAAAATGAATTAAAATTAATCTGATCAATTAGTTTTAATTTCGAATTAAGTTTTTAATTAAATTAATTAAAAACGTTTTGATTAATAGACACTACTCTTTGGAAAGAGTTGTATAGCTTCAGATACATCCAAAAGGTGTTTGAAGAGGTATGAAAGAGCCTATATAACTGGAGTCCTTAGTTCCATCAAAAATCATTTTTTCTTCCTCCTTGTCTTCCATACAAAATATCCAGAGAGTAAACACACAAATTAATTCGCTAGAGTTCTATAATCTAGCGCGGGTTGTAGAATTAGGTAGTTGTATCCTGGTCGAGCAGACGTTGTAGAACCACAAGCACATGAGTGGGACGGAAATATTGTTCAAAGGACATAGCGTTTGCGCTAGCCTCTACCTTCAATTCATTCAAGTTAGTATCATTTTAATTTTTTGTTACTATAACATAATTGCATTCTGTATTGCAAGTATTTTTGAATAATAAAGTATAAGTATTTCGGTTCTGTATTTCTGTTATTTTATTGTTTATAAATTGTTCTCCAACAGATTAGAGAAGAGAGAAAGAAGAAAAGAAAAATTCAAAGTAAGAAGGGAGGAAGGAGAAAATAAATAAGTGAGTTTTAAGTTTAAAAACTCTAAAAACTCATTTTTTATGTTTTTAGAGAATATGTTTTTTTTTTTTTTTTTTTTTCAGGTTAAGCTTGAGTTCAGTTTTTTAAAATAGTCATGCCAAATAAGTTTTTAAAGTTTAAAACATAGAAAAGTGTTTTTGAGTTAAAAAAAAACTGAATTCAAATAGAGTACCAAACATTTACCCAAGTTATCCAAGATTTAATTATCACTTTATTGAAGTTTCATATAAAATATCAAAAATGTAGTTGGATGTTTTTGAGTGATTGAAAAGTAGGATTGAAGGAAGGTTCCAAGAAGTCTGCTAGAAGAAGACTAATCCCTTTAAATAATTAAGCAAAAAACCCTTACACACAACTCCAAGGAAACTGCTAAGCTTTTACCATCAGCGACTCAAGCATTCAAGTCCATGCGCAAAATTGATTGCTAAGAAGGTAGGGCATAATGTGCCTCTTGAAACCGTGTGTATACATATTTGTTTCTCTCAATTAACTCGTTTACGCAACTAAGTGAGACTAATACAAAAATGTATACATCGGAATATCACAAATTCTATCGCACTAGTCCCGTGAAATTGACACAAAAGTGTGTACACTCGGGGAAGCAACATACAATGTATTGGCGAGTATATACCTGGTTACAAGAATATAAATAAAGACCAAGTGACTTTAATAAAGATTAAATAATACCAAAGACTTTTATAAAGATTAATTAAAGATCACAATACCAAAGACCTTAACAGTGCCTAAGATTACATAAACACCAAGTGAAGTGACCAAGAGTATTTTTTCCAATCATTTCTCTCTCCCTCTAACCGTCGTTTCATTTCTCTCTCTCTCTAACCACAAACATGGTGGATCAATCAGCCGGGTGCTGCAGCTGCTGCTTCAGCTTAATATTCACTCTCGGCCTCACAGCCCTCTTCATGTGGCTGAGCGTCGACACCAAAAACTCCACCCTCTTCGTCACTCTCCGGCTCAAAAACACCAACAATGACAAGATAGTTTTATAGGACGCCGTCAACCACGCCTTCCGGCTGCTGCCCAACACCCCCGCCCGTAGCTAACTTCTGCTGTGCCCCAGTTCTACCAGGGCCACAAAAGGAATATTAATATGTAGATCAAATCTCCAAGTAATTATAATTTATAAGCATATGTATTGGAAGAAGCACATGGGTGTACAGACAGCACAGCACAGCAAGCATACAGCAAGGGTGTGCACTCAAAGCACATGGGTGTACAGACAGCACAGCACAGCAAGACAGCAAGGGTGTAAAGGACAACAAGGGTGTAAAGCTTTCAGCTTTCTTTGTTGCTGACTCATGGACAGCAGGGAAAGGAATTGCATGTGCATGTGTGCTGTTGCATCCGAAGCTTTCTTTGTATTATGTATAAATATGCCTTCCCATAAGGCTTTCTAGATATGAAATTAATTACAATTCAAATCAGAAAAATCAATATGGTATCAGAGCAGGAAAAATAACCTGCTTCTGCATCATCTTATCCATGTCGTAGATGGC